CATCACCCTTCCTGGTAGTCACATCACCCAGCTTGGGGACAACAGTGCCAAATGGCCCTGATGTGCTGTGACATCTACGCTGCCTGGGTAAGGAGCACTTAGAGCACTGAGCCTGCCCAAGTAGGGTGACACCTCTGAGGCAGCACTGGGAGGGAATGGCAGGATGCTCACTCAGAGACCCTCAGCTCACATATGCCCTTTCTGTTTCTTCATACCCACACTGAAATGCAAACCAGGAAGATGCTTTTCCCACCTGAAAAAAACTGAACTGTCCCCTCAGGAAATGTGCAGGTGGGATACACCAGCAATTGGAAAAAAATAAAAGAGGAAAAAAAAAAAGGTTGATTAAAAATAAAAGTGATAAAACCTAAGAAATGTATTAAGCCCGATGGCTGCTCAGGAAAAAAAATGTAATTGTCAATAAGCTTCTGGGTTTTAACCCCAAAGTTTTAGTTTACCAGCAAAACCCCAGCCCATCTCTGGGCAGAGATTGATGCACATTCACTGCAGGAATGAGCCCCCTCCAGTCCACCAAGCGCTAGAACTGGCTTCCCACCACGGGGGGAGATGAATCCCATCCCTTCCTCTCTCTTTCTCCCCTAAATCAAGCACCAGCTTTTAAGTGCATTAAGCACAACCCGGCCCCCACTGCCGCGGCCACCTGCGCTCCACAGCCCCCTGGGGCAGGGGCCACTGTCCCGTCCCCCCGCTCGGTCCCCAGCCAGCCGGCAGCGCGGAGCGGGGCTCCCAGCACGCAGGAAGGCAGGTCCCTAAGGCACATTTACAGAAGTTTAGCCGGATGTACGGACAAACAGACGGACACTGCCCCGTGGCCTCCCTGCCCCACCTCTTTGCGTTTCCAACCTATTGCCTTAATTATTCCACGACTGTTAGGAGTGGTCTCCATCCCCCACTCTCCAGCATGCTCTGATTTATCTCTCAGCTGGGATAACAGCTCCCCCCATCCCTTCTCCTTGGGGAATTCAATTTTCATTCATTTTTCTGCTTTGCCAGATTGATCCAGGCCCCTCTGTCCTGCTCACTCACGGCAGCGACAAGCAGGCAAAGGGAGTGCTGAGCCTTTACCTCGGGAAGCATCGTGCTGCCAGTGCACAGCCAACACGAGTGTCTGAGTGTCCACTAAAAATAAACCCCCACCACCATCTTCCTCCCCGTTCACCCTTGGCTTGTTACATCTTCCCAGTAGAGACTTCATCCCCTGTAGCATTGCCCTCCATCCTTCTTGCTTTCCCTCTGTTCCTCATTTTGGTGTCATGTTTTTTTTGTTGTTGTTGCTGTTGTTGTTTTTTTTTTTTTGTTTGGTTTGTTGTTTTTTGTTGTTGTTTGTTTGTTTGTTTGTTTGTTATCTCTGGGTTGTTTTTTTTTTGGTTGCTTTGTGGTTTTTTGGTCTCTCTCAGGTTAACTTTCTCCATCACAACCCATTATCCTGGCATGTGGGGAGGTGGGCACGGGCCTCTTGCCCAGCAAACACCCTTTGTGCCACCCAAGATGCTGCTTGAGGAGCCGGTGGTTGCATGTCACTGGTGTGAAATCCCCTTCCAGGCTTTCTCCTCCTCCCGGATCTAAAACAGAGCTAAGGGGCAGTGGTGACCAGCCCGCAGAAGGGTGAATGCCACGATTTTCATCAGGTTATATTTCTGGGGCAGTTTTGGGGGTCTCTGGCACCATACAGATATCCTGCTCTCTTGTTGGTATTGCCTGAACCCCCTCTGCAGCCAGGTGAAGACACAAGCAATGTGATGCAAACCCCACAGACAAGCAGGGATAGCGCTCCCGGCACCTTCCCCACCAGTGTTAATAATAAAAAAGCAGGTAAACACTACAGCCTTTCCTGAGACCCAGCCGCAGCCTCCCTTGCTGTGCCCCAGCCCAGGCATGCAGGAACTGCGGCTGGTTTGGGCAGCATGTCACCGCGGGGGACATCAGTGCATTGTTCCCAGGTGCAACAGCAGGGTTTCAAGGCAAAATTAGGGGTGGATGTAAGGAAGGCTCATGCCTGGTGGGTGTGAGCCCAGCCATGTCCCTCATCAGCAAAGCCTGAGTGGGGTTGGAGGTGCCAGGAGCTCAGCTGACAGCAAGGCATTGTGCCACCATGCAGCGAGATTTCTGGGTCTCATCCCAGCTCCCAGCGTCCCCCTGCATAACAAAACCAGCTCCCCCTGCCTGAGGTGGGGACATCCTTATGGGGCCAAAGCTGCTACAGCCACCCTCTGAGCAGTGCACCCCAAGCCCCCATGTGCACAACCCCTTCTGCTCCCCACTTCTTAATTACTCCAATAGCTGTGCATGACCCCATCCCACAGACACCCCTATTGCCAGCGGTCACCTGGAGCAAGGACAAGCACAGTGAGACCCAAGTACTCACCAGCGGCTGGAGGAAGCCTCTCCCCTCGCAGGCACTGCCGTTGCTAATTGTAATTGAAAATTAATTGATGTTGAACGAACCCCCGGTGATTTTATGGCCGCAGCATGGGCAGAGGGGGGATGCCGATGGAGAAAAGCTCTCACCCGTGCTGAGGAGGGAAGGGGAAGAGGGGCAAGGCGGGAGGGAGCGAGCGCAAAGGGGTGGGAAGGTGGCTGGTGTGCGGGGGGCCGGCCACCAGCCTCGAGGAAAATTAAATTGCACTTGAGGGTAAATTGTATTAGGGAATAGCCGCCGCCTCACACAGCCCGAGGCCATTTGGGTAATTAGCCTCGGGGACACCCAGGCTCCTTCCTCTGGGAAGGGGTAACCCCATCGGGGAGTGTCCCCCACCCTAGACAGCCCATCCTACCCATGAGTGTGGCCATGGTAAGGTTTGATGCTCCCCCTGTGCCAGGGCTTGTGTGCAGGCCTATCCCAAAGACCCCATCCTGGGGGATATAGTGAGGAGGATCCTCCCCAGGCAGCACCGAGCCCTGCAGCAGCCTCCTGCCTGCACTGCTGCCTGCTCTGGCCCATCTGTGCCCTGCACTGGGGTTCCCCAGGTGCTGAGAGCACACCCTGGTGCTACAGCCCAGGAGAGCCAGGGCCAGGAGGATTTGGACTGCACCAAACAGGATTACGGAAAGTCTATTTACTGGACTTTTTCCTGTGTGCATGGCAGCTTTAGGCTGCGGGCCTGTTGGAGATGCTAATCTGGGCAGCCCTACCTGCAGCTTCTTCCTCACCAGCCCCTGCACCCACCTGCCCAGACCTAACCCCTTGCACCCTCCTGCTGCACCCCCCCAATGCACCCACCTACTGCATCCATCTCCCTAACACATCCTCCAGCCTGTCCACAGCTTCAGCAGCCCACCGAAAGATTTTGGGGCTAGGGTAGCAGCAGGCAGCCCCTCATCACAAGCCCTCAATCCCACACAGGGGAGCAGCTGGTGGGGAGGGTGTGCATGGGAGGTTATTCATGTTGGGGATAAACCCCCCTGGGAAATCAAGGAGAAGGAGGCAGCAGGGCTGCAGCAATGAGACCTTCCCCATCCATCACATGGCAGTGGGCAGGACCAGTGCTCGGCTGGGGGGACACAGGCCCCCTCCACACTGGGCTGAGGCTATTGAGGACCTGGCTAAGGGATGTGGCCAAGGCCAAGTGGGTCACCAGTGGCAGGGCAGGGCTGCCAGCCTCATGTCCCACGGAGGTGTGACCATGCACAGACACCAAGGAAGAAGAAAAGGCAGAGCAAGACAATTTATTTCAAAAGCAGGTAAGGGAGCAAGGGCCAGAGGAGCCAGAGATCGCAGTGCCTGGTCAGCAGCAGAGCTGGCTGCCCTCCTTCCCCATCCTGCCAACCCTCGCCTCCCGCCTGGGCAAAGTGAAGATATCAAGAAAAAGGCTCCAAATCGGATTGACACCCCCCCCCTCCCTCTTAATGAAGTTTATTATCGGCGAGGCTTTAATCCTTTTAAATCCCCCGTGTGGGGGGAAGGGCTGGGATTAAGGGAGGGCAGCATAATCCCAATGAATTTGTTACAGGGGGATTTAGGCAGCGCTGGGAGAGCAGATGGCTCCGGCCCTAGCTCTGGAAAACAACCATTTTCCTTAATGATTTCTAACAAGGATAAAAGGGCAGAAAGAATCGGGGACAGGCACAAGGCACCTGCACCCATGGAAGCCCTGCTCCCGAAGGGGATGCTCACAAGTGTCTCCTTGCTCTGCACCATGGGCATGGCCAGCACCGAACTGCAGCTCCATGGCTTACGTCAACTAATTTCCTGCAGCTTCCTGCCCTCCCCAGGCTCCCTCCCTATCACCCCACCTGAGGACAAACCATGAGCCACCCCAACCATGGGGACATGCTGGCTGTATGGGGGGCCACAGGTGCCTCCAGAAGCAAAAAGCAGGGGAAAATATACAATAACAGCAGCTAAAAACATTTAAAGGATCAAACCAACAGTGTTCTTCCTGGGGTGATGGGGGAGACCAGAGCCAGGACAGCCAGTAGTAAGGGATGGCAGGGAGGGGAGGTGCTGCCCTGTGTGCCCACATGGCAGGGACCAGCTGACACAACAGGGCCAGTGTCAGCGAAAATAATTTATTCCACTAAGACAAGCATTAGAGTGAGCAACAGCGCGTGAGGGGGTGAGGAACGGTGGGGGCCCCCATTCGTGTCTCAAAGGGGGACACACACACATAATGCTGCTGAAACCCCATAATGGAGTCTGCCAACCCCCATCCAGCAGTGCCTACTTTTTGAGGGGTTAAACCCCCCACCCTCCTGGCCCCACTAGTGGTTTGACCCCAAAGGGCTGCTCCCCAGCATGGGACTAGGTTTCCCCATTTGAAACCAGTCCAGGCAGCTCCAAGGGCAGCTGGTGCCGAGACATGAACCAGTGTCCCTGCTCCCGCACACCCGAAATGTGACACTGCAGCCTGAGAGGGGATGCTCTGACACCTCCTTCCCCCTCAAAAAGAGCTCTCCACCCTCCACCCCCACCCTGGGGTACTTGCTGCTGCAAGTGGGCAGCTCCTGGGCAGGATGTACCAAACCATTTCACACTGGGGATAAAACGCTGTCCCAGGTGTGTCTCGGATCAGCAGCCCACCCACCCCACCCCGGGGGCAGCCCTCGGCCCCCTGCAACTGCTCTCAGGCCACGGGGAAGCTAGGGCGGCCTTTCCGGGCACGGGTGCGGAGACGGAAGAAAGTGTACATGCCCAGGAGGCACATGGAGGAGAGGAAGTAGAGGGCCACGCACAGGCTGATGTCCAGGCGGGAGAAGCCCAAACCAAGCACCCGCAGCCAGGGGCTCCTCCTCACGCCCTCCCCAGCCGCCTCCTCCTCCTGGACCTGGACGCCAGGAGGCCACCGACGCTCCCGGCCCAACCTGGCATCCTGGAGTAGGGCAATCGTGTCCCGCTTGCTGAGCCGCCGGTGCCGGCTGGCTGCCGCTCGCAGCGCCTGGCTCTTGAAGTGCTGCTCACTGAAGGAGTCCAGGTCCACGATATCCTCACCCACCTCTCGCAGCTTGGGGTTCAGCCGCACAATGCTGGGGCGTCTTGGTTCAGTGGAGCCTGGTCGCCCCGGAGGTCTCATGTCACCCTCCCTCTCCTTTTCCTCCTCTTCCTCCTTCTCCCTCACCTCTCGTGGGCCCTCAGTGCCCACCCTGCCACCAGTCCCCTCTCCAGCCATGAGGATGGGGTCAGCCTCAGCATAATCCATGTAGATGTTGGCTGGGGAGAAGTGTGCCTTGAGGAAGGTGAACACAGCCGGCTCATCCCAGGCGTGCACACCCCGCTCCTCCTTGTGGCACTGGGGACACATGTCCGGTGGAGGCCACTGCAGCTTGGGGAACTTGGGGTCCTCTGTGTCACCTCCTGCAAAGACCGGTTAGAGGAGACATGTGACAGTCCTCCCCCTGTACTGGTATAAGTGCCCCGGAGCATCCAGCAGCTGGGGACAATGATGGAGATGGGACATTTGGAGGAGGCGTCAAAGGAGGAGAGGTCCTCCAAGGGTACCTGTCAGCTTTGGAAAGCTCCCTCAGGGAGCACGTAAGACCCAACTGCATCTCTGGGGTGGTCTGATGCTGTGTGACCAGCTGCTGTCGCCTATGGTGGGGGATGCTGACAAGAAGATGTCTCCATTGCTGCACCCTAATGCAGCCATTTGCCAGCTCCATCCAGGAGGAGAGATGCTCCTCCACCTCACCTCCCTCTTCCCTTTGGAAGCTGCACTGGCTCCCCTCCCTGTGGCCCCCCTTACCCGCCAGGCGAGCGTTGACCTCGTTGTGGTGGGACCAGAGCCAGAGGACAGCCTCTTTCCGACTTGCCACCCGGTCCATGGACTCAGCCGCCATGGCCTCAAAGTGCTGAGCACACTCTTGGCAGCCAAAGAAGTACCGGACATAGCAACGCATGATGCTCAGGACCTCCAGTGGTAGCTCTGTAAGGAGGCAGAGGATAGGGGAGGACAGGAAGGCAAGTCCTGATGGTCCCACAGCTAAAGTGGCAACCCCACACCCTGACTATGTGGCTCTTGTCCCCCCTGCAAATCTGCCTTGGGGCAAGATTAAGAAGGGGGGGAAACAAGCCTTTGCCTGCATGCAACCCCCCTGCCTGCGCTGCAGCCCACCCACACACCTCCTCCGAAGACCCTCCCCCCTCGGGACCTGGTACCTTTGTCAGGGCCGCTCTGGGCAGCCTGGACAGTCAGCAGGTGGAAGATGGTCCAGAGCCCGCAGGGGTAGCCACGGAACTGGCGTTCGCTGCCCTGGCAGCCCACCCAGGTCACATTGGTGGGGAGCCAGGCAGGGTGGGAGGCCTGGTGGGCCGACAGACATGGTGTGAGGGAGCTGGCAGGTAATGTGGGCTGGGAAAGGGGTGAGGGCTGGGGCAGGGACCGAGGTCCCCATGGGCATCTTACATCTCTGTTATTCTTCATGGCCCCCTTCAAGACGTCACGGGGCAGTTCAGGCTCTGTCCAGTTCTTCAGCCATACATCCAGGGACTGCAGGTAGGTCTGCACACAGGGGCGCCCCGGGAAGTACTGCAGAGTAGGGAGAGGGGTGAGGAAACCCAGGCCTTGTCCCGGGAGCAGCAAGGCAACCTACCAGCACCACCAGCTCACTGTGACAGGCACTGGGCAGCACCAGCATCCCCTCTGGCAGCACGTGCTGGAAGGCAGTGCTGTCCCAGCAAGGCTTTGGTGCTGAGGGGCTGGTGGTCACAGCATACCCCCCCATGGTGGCAAGGCCATACTCTCCTGCATGCATGTTCAGGCTCCAAACCTCAGCCCGTCTGAGGGAAGCAAAAGCCACTCTGACCATAAACCAGCACAAAGCCGATTAGCAGCAGTACTTTAAAACCACAGGAGCTCTGGGGAGAGGGGGCAGACCACCAGTATGTACTACTGCTGGACAAAGAGACAGAGGAACCGAACCATGTGGAGGACAAGACCAGCAGCACACAGGAAAAGTGACAGGGAAGCAAAAGGATGGAGCATTTTGCTAACTCCGAGCTGTTCTCTCCAGGTCCGCGGAGAATCACGCTGAAAGTCCCAAATTCACAGGGGAATTAATCTGCAACCTGATTTCTGCTGCAAAACGCAGTCCCCCCTGCTCCTTCGACTGGAGGCTTTACCACACAATTCCATGCTTTCTAGGCACCACTTCTTTCCACGTTTGGATTTTTCCTCCCTCCTTTCCTTAAATACTTCTTGGGAACGCAACAGTTAAGTCTGGGAGCTGCTGGCTGAGCTCCCCAGCCTGAGCCCTGCCCGGCTGGCAGCAACGGCTGCAATCCTGGGGATGCTGCTCCGTCCTGTGGATAAGCATGGAAATGGCAGCACCATTGCAGCATCCTCTTGGAAGTACCAGCACCCACCACTCAGTGCCCCGGTGCCTCCTGCCCACAGTGGGGATGCCACCGTCTCCTTGCCAGAGGCCACAGCTCATCCTTGGCAAGCGAGGGGGAGGTTTGCAGAAAGAATTAGAAGCAGATCAAATAATCCCACTGCTGCTCCTCACCATGCTGGCAAGCTTGTGCCCTTGGCCAGGAAACTGGTGTGATGGGAGATTTATTTCCCTAGTCCTGTGGTTCTCATTCAAGGGAGAAACAGCAAGGGTGACAGATGGGTGCAAATAAAGTAAGAGCCACATGAATTGCTGAGCTGAGGACCTAAGACTCATTGCACTAGTGTCTCACATTTGGAGCTCTTTGCTGGGGGAGAGCAGGCAGGGGTGGGAGCAGAGGCTATCTCACACATCAGCAAGGGCTATGCAAGGTCTAAACTTAGTGTGAAATCCTATGTGACAAAGGAGAGAGCAAAGGTGGCAGGCATGGCTGGGTGAAGGTATGCCAAGGATCCTGGGCTCTCACAGGGATGAAGACAGGGCTCCTGCAACAGCAATGTTGGAGACCTCAGCCAAACAGTGCTTCATTGCACCAGGGAATTAAAGTGCCCCACTTTTGCTGGCTCAAAGCTCCTTCAATTCACATACTTCAATTTCACCGACAAAAGAAAAACCAGGACCTTACATGAGGCTCTTCCAGAGCTTGACTGAGAGCAGGAATCCCTTTCCTGGACTATCAAAGGAGTCTGCAGTGATCAGCTCCCCAAACCAAGCATCCAAGTCAGACAACAAGAATTACAAACCCCTCTGACCATCTCTGACACCCAGTGGTCTCTTCTGAAAAGACTTGCTGCCTCAACACCTCCTGCAAGGCCAATCCTGCTCTGCCCTCCAATACCAGCACCTCACATCTCATCAGAAACTCTCTGGCACCTGTCTGTTGCAACTCAGGGCTGTCTGGAGATCCACAGGGATAGGGACAGCCCCACAGTGACACTGGGACACAGGGCTCACATCTGAGACCACTATGCTTTGCTACCAGTGAGCACTGGAATGTGGTGGCCTGAAACCTGCATTTGCCTTTCACCCTATGAATAGCTACATGGAGGCATTGGTGGTTCCTCTCCCAGCACCAAAAGCTCCTCACCTTCACCAGCGTGGATACGTAGCACTTGAAGGCAGCCAGCTGGGCTCCTGACAATGCGGCGGCACGGGTGGCTTCCACTCGCAGTGAGTAGTGCAGCGTGGATTCCAAGTCGGCCATGTACACCTTGGAGCTGGGGAGGGTAGCACAACATGATGCTCCACCAGCCCATTAACCTGTACCCCAGGAACCCAGCCACGATTTCTTCTTTTTCCCCAGGTGAAAGGCATAGTCCCACCTACCACCCTATTGCCCACCCATGGCCATGACACCTCCTCCTTGCACAAGCCCTGGCCTCCCATTGCCCCAGAATGATGAAGGGAGGGGTCCGACCGGTCAGCATGCTTTGGCTGGGATACGTTGGTCTCGTTGGAAACTGTGATGGTTGTGTTCAGTTTGTAGGAGCCACGAGTGATGCCCGAGAGTGTGCGCAGGTAGTAGGTGTAGAAGGAGCGTGCCTCCATATGCCTGCAAGGAAGGAGAAGCTGTGAGCAAGACCCTCTTCACTCCCAAACAGCCCCCAGCCCCAACAAGGAAGCAAAGGAGACCCAAGGCTTAGTCAGACTGACAACTCTGACCTAGGGAATGAGTGCGGGGTGGTCTGCACTCTCCATGTGTTCTGGCAGTGGGTATCCTGATACGCAGCCCAGGGCAGAGCTGAGCCCTTGGCAGCTGTGCTGAGCCACCCCAGGGAGATGCAGCCATTTGCCCTTCTCCCAGCACCAGGCAGGGCTGGCAGCCACACTCACTGCCCACCAGCAGCCCCCTACTCCCCACCAGCCTGCCCGACCCAGCCACTGTCTCCTTCTTAATGAACTTTCCCAAAAGGAGACCCCCCACCAGGGTCCACAAACCCACCCCCCGTGTCCTGCACTCACACGGGCAGGCGCGAGAAGGAGCCGTTGCGGAGGAGCAAGTAGGCAGAGGGGAAGGTGGTGACGCCAAACCTCTCCACGAGCTCCTCCTCGCTGCTCAGCACCCTCCTCACTGCCACATTCTCGTACTGCAGCATGTCCAGTGCCACCTGCAACCAGCAACCCCCGGGTCAGAATGGGGGGACAGCAGCATCCACCATCTCACTGGGGAGGCAGCAGGGCTATTTAGAACCCTGTATAAGACACTGCACCAGCAAGGCAGCATGCAAGGCAACTGGGGAGGCTGCCACATGACAACTTCCCTCTCAAAGGCACCCAGGCTTCAAGAGAATTGGGGGATAAATGCAGCTATACCCACCTCTCTGCCTACGAAGGAGTTGCTCTTCTCAAATATAAGTGCCAAGTACTGGTCTTTGTTCCTCTGGAAGAAGGTGTGAACTTCTTCCATGCTGCAAGAGAAAAGAGGATGACAGCAGGTCCTCAGCATCAGCCCTCCCACCTGAAAGGAGCTAGGCTTTGGCAGGGGATCCTGGTGGAGGTTCAGCCTCACCAAGCATGCAATTCTTTGCCACTAAAGTTCCAGCCCAATTTTCTGCTCTGGTTCACAGACTTTGAGAAAATCCACTGGGGTCAGCCAAACAAAGCACAGGCAGAGCAGGGCACGAGGGAGCTGCACAGTTACTCAGGGAAACAAAACAACAATGAACTTGGAAGCAGGACTGTTGTTTTTTTTAGCTAGCGGACAGAGGCACCAGAGACTTGAAGCATGTGCCCACCTTGACTATCACTTTGGGAAAGCTGAATGCTCCCCCTGGGAGAGTGGAGCAACTGCCTGCATTCAGTAAAGACTGCAGATCCCAACAAATTTGTACCGAACCAAGAAAACCCTTTCTTGGGACAGGAAAAAGCTGCTAAGAGCAGCAGTCGGCATTGCCATGTCCCTGGCCCAGGCGCTGCTTGCTGTAATTAAGGCCTATCTCATCTGGGCCACATAAATGTCTCTAGCCTGGCCAGGTCATCTGCATCTCCCTGGGATGTGGGTGATGCAGTGGCTGCTCTGTGCTCAGTTTTGCCTCAGGATTTTCCCCAAAACCTGCCCTCCATAGGACAGAGGCTGACACAGACATTCCCCATCACGCCACTCCTACCTCGCTGGCTCCAGTGGAGGACAGGCAGGCGGCCAGGCGGCCTGGCTCTGCTCAAGGTTGGTGATGATGGCATGGCGCAGGTCCTCGACGGTGGCACTGGGATCTGCAGGAGGACAGGGTGCCAAGGGTCAGTCATGGGGAAGCCTGACCCATGGGCTGGGCTAAGCTGAGGGAGCTACTCTCAGCTGCCCCCTGGGCTCCCTGAGGTCCAGATGCATGGGGGATGTGGACAGCAGAGCCATTTGCACCCAGGGAAAAAATGAAACAAAACAAACCCCAAAAAATTGGTTCTGAACACTCACTGGTAATCCTTATCCCGTCCTCTGCCTTCTTGCTAAAAGCTCTGAAGAACTGAATGAGAAAACAAAACACAAGGGGAAACTGGAGTGAGAGTGTAGAGTGGGACAAGGAGGCAGTGCTGCCCAGCAGGCAGAGACTCCCCCCACACCATCTCTGTCTCAGTTTCCCTACAACATTACAGCATACCAATCAACATGAGCCACCACAGAGGTAGCACTTGGGCTGCGTCCCCATCTTGCAGGGCATCCCCAAAGGGGAGGGGTGCCCGCAAGGGCTGGGAGCCATGTCCAGCCAAAGGCTGAGTGCTGGGAGGCAGCAAGGCAGGTGTCTCTAGGGGTCCCAGGGAGGCAGTCTGGTTCTGCAATCCAGTAGCTCCCTGCTCCGGAGCTCTCATAAACCAGGAGAAGGGTTTTGTTTTTTTTTTTCCCCTTCTGACCTGCCACAGCGGCTCCAGAGCTTGTGGTACATCCAGAGCAGTGAAACCAGGTTGCATCAGACCAGTGTTTGCTTTGCAGGCTGGGCTAGGAGCGCTGGCTATTTGCGAAAGGTGTTTGGTGGGGACAGGGGATGCAAAACGAGTGAGTTCTTGGCACTGCCACATCAGCACACCTCCCTGCCCTGGGAGATGTTTTGGTCAATGTCCCACAGGCAGTGGGCGCTCAGGCAGCAGGTGCTTGTTGAGACCACAGGGCAGGGTTAGGCCACAAGCCAACCCACCTGGCAAACCACCAAACCTGACCTCACCTTGGAGTGAGCCTGTAAGCTGGGACTGAGGGCATACCTGATAAAACCCATATTCCCCCTGTTCCATACCAAGATGATCCTGGATTTTGCTGCCTGAACCTGGGGTGCTTCAGCTTTATTGCTTACGTTGGAACAAGGCTCTGTTTGCAGTGTGAAACACTGTGAAACACCACCCTGACACAGCTAAGAGGTCAGGCTCAGGCTGGCACCTCGCCAGCCACTGCAGGAGGCTCCCAGCAGCCTCCTGCAGCATCCCTGCACCCTTCTTCAAAACCTGTGTCTGTGACTGCTCTCTGCCCTCCAGCAGCCTTTCCCAGGTGGTTCCAATTGAATTTTCAGACACTACACTATCCTAGGAGAGATATGGCCTCTACATTTCACCACGAAGCAGCACTTTGGTTTTCCCCCTCCTTGTTGATACATCACCCAGCAGTTGCGCTGCCTGCAGTCTGGCTGCAGCTCTGTTTTGGGGAAGTGTGAAGCAGCTCTGGACTGCAAAGCCCCAAATGGAATGCTTTGGTGCAATAATACTGTCAATTTGATTGAGCAAGACAGAGACAGAGCAAAACGCAAAGCACTGTGAAACCAGGCAAGTACCTGGTGCACACAGCCCTCACCTTCAGCGTGGGAAAGCCAGTTATCCCAAAATCAGCACACACTTGCTGGTTGGCTTCATCAGCACAGTCGATGGCTGCTAGCATCACTGCAGGCCTCCACTCTGGGGGGACAAAGGATGCGGTCAGCACAGATCAGCCTCTCTAGGTCCCCAAAACTGCCCTACTCCTCACAGCTGCTGTAGAAACGGCAGGGATCTCCTGCCACACCAGCGACATGGCTCCCCTGTGCCCCGAAGTCATTGCTCATCCCTCACAGGAAACTGATGGTTTCCAAGCCCCAAATACCCAACGCCATGTCCGAGCTAAAGCCTACTTTTCAGACAGAGGAGTGCAGGGAAAGCTGTGCAAGGCGGGACCAGGCTTTGCATGCCCTGCCCTCACCGGCGCCCGAGTCAAGGCAGCTCTGCCCACGGCTGCCTGCCCGTCTGGTTCTGCTTGCCCAGCCTCTGCGCCAGCGGGAAGAGGCCACTGGGAGAAGAAAGGGAGGGATGGCTAACCACTGCTGGGGGAGAGCAGGGAACACAGGCTTCAGCTCATCTCGCCCCAAGGGTACGGTTGATAACCACAAGGGAACAACCCAAGAACAGTTGCCAAGTATCTGCTCCCCCTCTATGACTCTCCACCACCACCTGCCTGGGGAGGACCAACAGATCACTGGAGTAAAACAGAGTGGGGAAAAAAAGAATGCATAGAGGCATTTCAAGCAGCAAGCTCTAAAAGCCAGCAGCAAAATGGAGATAAAAGCTCTGAAATGGCTTCTTTTTAGTGTAAAAGATACAAGCTAGAGAATGCCCAGCCTGTCCTTCGAGCAGGATGGGGAGGGGCATGGTACCACCACACAAATGGAGCCCATGCCACCTGAGGAAGGAGCCTGCTGAAGACAACCCTCTGGGACTGTCCTTGGTCACAGGTGACAGAGCACATGAACTGTGTCCTACTACAACACAGTAGGAGCACCAGCAGCACAGGAAAGCCGGTGCCAAGCCCTGCTGCAGGGAGCCAGGCACACTCTGGACTCATCTGCACATGGTGCCTGTGGGTCACCCTGGCCTCCTCCCTGGCCAGCCCACACCTGCGAAAATCCACCCCTGGGAACAGCAGTAAGATGGCAAGGGGCACAGGGATGGCTTCCCTATCCTGCCTTCACGAGCACCCCATTTGCAGGAGCCCTAGGGTGACCCTATTTTGGAGAGAGGCCAGAAGAGCCAGCATTCCCCCAGGGGGCCTGGGCACACACCACATGCCTCACATCCTGCCCCACTGGAAGTACTGATGGCATCCCCAGGGAGGGATGGCATCCCCTCCGAGGAATGGGACACCTGCCCTGGCAGGAGCCCCTGAGTCACCCGGCAGCAACTGCGCTGTATCAATTACCGCAATAGCAGAGAGCAGCCTTGCGCACCCCGGGATGCTGGGGGAGGCAGGACAAGCCCTGCTGGGGCCAGGGGCCCAGCACTGGGGTGTGCGGGCTCCCAAGTGATGCTGGGCATAAGCCAGGCCAGGTATCAAGGTCAAAGTTGGGAACAAACCAGCTGGGATCAACGCCCCGCCCCAGAGCCCTGCCAGCCTCTCCCTGCAGGCACCAGGGAGGAGCACAGCTGAGGGAGGGTCTGGGCAGTCAGCAGGACCCCCATGCCTGGGGCAGGCTCAGCCTAAGCTTCTCCCAGCTAAAGGGGGTTCCAGGGATGCTGCTAAGCCAGGACTAACCATTGCAAGGGAGGCCTGGGCATCATGGGGGACCCTGGGCCTTCCCACCGGGCTGACACTTCAAGGAGGCTGGGGAAGGGATACAGTGGGATTTAGCGGTGCTGACAGAAGGGAAGGCAGAGGAGAGAGGGGGGTACTGACAGGGAGAATGCAGAAGGGATGAAGGAGTGCTGACAGGACCGAGTATGCAGAGTCAGGGATACAGGCAGGAGTGAAGAGTACTGACGGAGAGCAGCATGATGGACAAGGACACAGGAGGGATTTAGGAGTGATGGGGGTGGGGAGAGGGACCGGGACGATTTACAGATGCTCACAGGAGAACAGACAGGGATGCAGGGAGTACTTAAGAATGCTAATGAGAACACAGAGACATGTAGAATTAAATGGGGTGCCGATGAGAGAAGCCAGAGACAGGGACAAGGGGGGGAACAAGGTCAAGGACACAGCGAGGGTTTGGGGGTGCTGATGGGACAGGCAGGCGGGGATGGGGGGCAGTAGGTTAGCCGCGCCGGGGACTCACCGCGAAGGTCGTGGGCCAGGGCCTTCCATGTGGGCGCGAAGTGGATGCAGTGCCCGCACCAGGAGGCGAAGAACTCGACCGCCCAGGCGCTGGGGGAGCCGAGCAGCCGCCCCTCCGCCTCCGCCCCCAGCAGCTCCAGAGGGTCAGCGGCCGAGTACAGCTCGCGGGGCCGCGCCGCGGGCACCGACAGCGCCAGCACCAGAACGGCCGCCGGCCACCACCGCCCCCCCACACCGCCCCGCGCCCGCCGCCGCCGCCGCCACATCGCCCGCCAGGCCGTGCGCCACCGCCCGCCGCCTTTAGGGCCGCCGCTCGCCCCACCCGCTGGGGTGGGGCAGGGGCGGGGCCGAGGAGGGCCGCGGCGCCCCCTGTTGGGAACGCAGCGCTCCTGCGCTCCCAGCGCCAAGGGGGGAGCCCCGAGCCCCCCCCAGCGCCGGGCAGCGCTACCCCCCTGCGGGGACACGGGGAGCACCACATTCTGGTGCAGCGAGGGAAGGCGGAGGGGGCTGATTCAAGCCCCAAACCCGCCGTGCCGCCATCAGAGTCCTCCCTGACGGAGCCACCAGCCCCAGGGCAGCGCCCTGATCCCACACCCTGACATCAGCCAGCGTCACTGGTCAACGCCTGCCGGGACACCCCAGAGAATGGGGACCCCGGAGACCTGGCTGCCCTCACCCCAACCCTGCAAGGGGTGAGCAACAAGGATACCCAACGAGGCCCCAAAGTCAAACTCCTCCATCCCTCAAAAAGCTGCCCTTCGTGGCGGGCAGGCCGGTGCCCGGCCAATGCCTCCCAGCCCTGTCTGTGCCATGGCTCACGCACACACCCGTGTCACCATCTCCCTTACGTAAGGTGTCCGTTGCCCAGGGCCTCAGGGCAGAGCTGGGCACTGAGGGGTGTACACAGCCCTGACCTCCATCCCTCCACTCCCTCCCCAGCCTCTAAGGGCACGGGGTCCCGGCCCCACGGGTGCCCATCGCTGCTGAGGGCTGGTTACTGGCTCTGTCTCCAGGAAGGCCATTAGCCATGCTGGGCCCCACCTAAGTACTTTAGGCGGACTTGCCATGCTAGAAAAACAAGCCTGCCAGAACCAAGCCTCGCCATGGCAGCAGGGGGCAGGGGCCTCCACACGGGGCACGGCTCTGGGGAGCTATAGGACTCCTCAAGATGGCCTGGCTATGAGGTCAGAGCTTGTTGGACACAAGCCTCATGGGATCGCTGCCACGCATTTTCTGCACGTCCATGCTGATGGAAATGGGGCAGAAGATGGTTTGCTCCAGCCCTGCCAACTGTAATTAGATGCTTAAGGGATTATCACACCTTGCTGTCCAAACGCAAGAAGAGAGGCACAGCCCGGCCCATGCTGGGCTGCTCTGAAATATGGTCCCTCACTATTGCCAGAGACCTTGCCACAACTTGTCCTTATCCAGCTGGCAATTAAAAAACAAAAAATCCTTGTGCTCAGGGATGTCATCACCGTTATTTTACCCTGAGCTGACATCCTTATTCTAAGGGCTCGTCAACTCGATTAGGTTATCACGGTGGAGGCGCTCAGCACCAGTATAATTGCCAGCCGTCCTCCCCATCCAGCTCACCCCTCCCTTCCAGGGAGCCCAAATTCCTTAAATCCTTTTGTAGATGCAAAAGCAGCATCTAACCGGAGGGCAGAAGGGCAAGAGCACACACCCGGGGGCTCCGGCTCTTTTTGAGGTGAGCAATACCATTGCTCACCTACCAAAGCCCCGGGGTGGGGATGCTTCTGCTTCCTGCTGCCTAGGGAACAGCTGGGGCTGCAGGTACTGCCGAGAACCCTGCTACAGGGCTGGCGTGGCCATCCCCACGACTCCCAGGGAACAGCCTCCTTCAGCAGCAGGGTGTGGGGCTTTCCAGGCAGGGACTTGCCCCAAAAGCCTTTCTTCCTTCTAATCCTGTTGCAAAGCAAGAAATGAGGGTTTCTTTCTGCCTCAAACTGGGAAGAGCAGAATGCCTTGAGACAGGGGATGGGCATGTAAAACCCAAAGATTTAAAAATTTTAAAACAACACAGTTTAAGGTAGATTTGAGAATAACTAAGATTAATTAAAAATAAAGTAAAGTAAAATAAAATAAAATCAAAGCAGCAGCAGAAGTCTGGGGAGGTTTTAAACGCTCTCCCAGTGCTGCCTGCCTTTTTGTCCTCTCATACTTTGCACCTCCCCACTGCTGGCAGAGCCTGTGGGCAGCAATGCACAGGGAGTGGGTGCTGCATGACCCTAGATGCCCAGCTTATGAGCCAGCCCCAAAAACCAGATTTAGGCTCTCATGGCCCCTTGGAAACAAAGCAGGTTCTAAACTGCACTGCACTGCAAAACCTTCAGCACTCGCCTCAGCATCCTTAACTTTGGCAAAAGACATGCTTCCCCCCTCTGCGGCAAGGCCATGGGCTAAAGCCCACTGTGGAGGTTCCTGTGCTGCACACGTCTTTGTGCAGCAGCCAAGCGGTGGCTTTAGTTCATTAAGCTCATCGGCTCTCAAGTCTCCTTTCCCAGGCTAATACCCAGTAGGAATCTCCTTGAAGTCAATGAGGTGTGGGCAACACAAACAGGCTGAGAGACTCAAAGGCTGCTAAGATCTTACCAAAACTATTTACACCCTGCAGAACTTGTTTCGTGCACCCAAAATGGGTCATTTTCACAGATGCAAAGAGCTACTCTGCCTCTGTGCTGAGTTAGAGAGGAGATGAGGGAAGAGCTAATGGGTTTTTGTGTATTCAGCCGTTCAAGTGCTGGAAATGATTTCAAGAAAATGGAGAAAGGCTTTTACTGTCCCTTTTCAAAAGCATGAATCTCACTACAACATACCAATAGCTCCACATGGCCAGGTAAGCCGACCCAGAATCTTCTCAGCTCCCTTTAGTTGTGAGGGTTCAGGGATAGGGAGATCCCAAAATGGACTTCCTTCCTTGAGAATTAAAGAACACGTTCCTACCTAATTGTGTGATTCCAGGAACTGACTCCAAGAAAAACACACAACCAATGCAAGACTCATGATACAATCATGGCAACCCCGTCACCCGGCCCTGGCATTTTGGAGGCCATTTAGAGAAGTTTGCATCTGACTCTCCTGTGAGCACCTCAGAAATACCAGTTGAAAAGGATGCTTGGCAGTTTTCCTCTCTCTCCGTCCTTCACAAGATAGGGCTGATGAATTCAGTGAAGCTCTCGTCGATCTGGAGCACAGCACCACAGTGCCACAGTGCCACCATGCTGGTTAAACGTAGCAGCTTTAGTTTGCTTCTGTCTTAAGCAGTCAAGAGTTTTCTCGTTCAGCATAATGACATTTTATGTGGACATACGAATTACTTGGGGGGGGGGGGGAGTGTGGTCCTTCTCTAAATAGAAGAAAAAGCCTCATTTCCTCAATTATCATCGCCAAACAGCTTGAGAGAGCAACTGAAAATTGTGCCACTGCCACCTCCCAGCCAGCCAAAGTGAGCTGGGACACTCCATCCCAGGTGGCACTTTTCCACTGGCGGCACCAGTCACACCTCCACTGAGACACGACTTCAGACAAGACCTTTGGTAATGCCTGTGCAATAAAGCTGTCAGCTTCCATGGCTTTGCCAAGACAGGGAATAGCGCAGAGTGGATGTGAACCCTGACTGCTTCCCATAACCTGCATTGGCTCTGCTGTGCTCACACCTGTGAAGACCAGGAAAGCCCTCAGTGGTAGCTGGGAATTGCCGACTACGTGAGACAGGCTGGGTTGGATACAGCAGATTTCTACCTTTCAAGCCCAACCAGCCTATAATAACAATAGGTGTAAAAGAAAATCCGGCTACATTCTCAGGATGTGATGAATATGTTCACGTAGTTTGTGTCTGCAGAGAGACTTCAGCAATACCAGCCCCTTTCTGCTATTCACCCTCTGCTGATTCATCCCTGCTCAAAAGGATGGCAGCAATATTGTGCCTGCTTTTTACACAGGGACCTGGGGGGACCGGGAGGAACTGGTGCTGTCTTTGGTATGTCTGGGTAGGAAATGTTTTACCTGCAAATTTAAGATCTATTTAAAGTCATAAATCATCACTATGACCCAGGATGAACGGAGCATATGTCTTCCTCTCTAGCTCATCTGCCCAGCTTCCAGGAGCAGATCGGAGGAGGCCACACCGCCCAGATTTGCCACATCATTATTTGGCAGCTAGCTTAATTGCAGCTCATGAAACTGAGAATACCACACAGATGACAGTGGAGCACTCCTCTCTTGATGTGGCAGTAGTCCTGCAACGTAAGCAAGGTCTCACCTATCAAGGACTGGGGTACCCAATCAGAGTTTCACTGGGCAGCACTGGCTCCTCCATCACCTCTGCAGAGAAATGCAGCAGAACACAGATACTGGACTCCTTGTGTCCTTGCTGAGCTCCTCAAGCCAAACATGAAGGGAGGATCTCTTGCAGCTTCTTTTATTTTGCTGGAAGAAAAGAAAAATCTTTGAGGGACACCCCTGGAACTGGGGTTAATTCCACCTCCAACAAACTCACAGATAAAACCCTGCTTTGAGTCACCATAGATTTCACAGGGCAGTGACAGAGAAGCCAGCCTGCAAAAGGAAGCCACCGGAAACCAACATTGTGGAAGGAACACAGCCCAAGGGACATGGCAGATCTTGCACAGCTGCAGTAAAGGGCTGGAAACTGGGGCCGAGAGAAATATTCAGAGCAGAAACAAACCAGACCTGCTCCAGGCAATCCTCACACAGCATACTCAGCAGGCAAAAGAAGGTATTTTCACCCTAAGTGTGCCTGCTATGCTCCTGCCCAAACCTCACCCTCCTGATTTGAGGTGCTGCCCCCTGACAGCTCTATTATCTTTTTTTCCCTGAATTTCCTTAGGATCTTAATCAGAAGGAGGCAGGAGAGCACAGGGTTGGGCTATGGGTTTTGTTTGCTCCAGTTTCCAGACCTCACAGGGTATCTTTCCCTCCCCTACAGGACCCACATCCCAGAGAGTGTCCTAAGCTTTCAAACTCCATTGTATCTCATCTGCATTCCTGCCTGCCAATGGCCCGTGCTCTGGGCTGGGTGCCAGTGGTGCAGCAGCCCCCCTCCTGTCCTTCCTGCATGATGAAGAGAGCTGCTGGCCTTCAGCAGCTCCCCACCAGCTCTTTTTCTTCTAAAGGCAATGTTAATGAGAGCCCAGACATTGCAGAAGCCCTTGTGGTAGGCAAGGCACAGCGACATCCAGAGCAAAGTCAACATTTCAAGTGCTACAGCACTCTGCCAGGCGTTTTAGGATGCGGGATGGCTGCAGCTGGCACCACCTTCCTGCGGAGGCACCTGGGAGGGGGTGGCATCTGGGAAGGGAGGCACCAGAACAGTCCCACTCAATCCAGCATGCCATCAGGACGTGGCTGCCTGCTATTGCCCAACTCGGGAGTTTCACCAGTCCATGGGTGAAATGGCTGTCAAAGGCAGCTGCACTTCAAGGGTTCTGATAAGAGTTGCACGAACACCACTGTAGAAAGTCAGTGCCCAAGTAAAGCAATGTAGACTTGCAAATGAGGAAGTCAGTGCCTTCATCAAGCTGATTACTGGGCATCCTGAGCAAGGGCAGCAAGTAGCGGTGCCTTGGCAGCATTCCCACCACTTGAGCCATTTTAAAGGGAAGCCAGTTCCTCAGCCAGAGAGCACAGATCATTTCTTTTTTCTCCTCAATGTGAAATGCACTCTAAGCCACTTCCAGGGATGGATGCTGATGGCTGCAAGGAGATCAGTGTCTGAAAATGAGAACTCATGGAGAAAAATCATTACAGGGTGGGAAAAGTAGGGACACGGATGCTCCCCTGCTGCTCAGTAATGAGCACAGAAACTGCACCGCCACCACTTCGTTACAGTGCTTTGGACATCAAAGAACCCACCTGCTGGGCTTTGGCTGGTTCAACCCCAGAGCTCAGAGGGCTGTGATGTGTTTCTCTGTATGAAGGTTGTGGATGGCGTTCCCGGCCTCCTCTGCTGAGGATTACTGCTACTGGCACTGCAGGACTGAAGCAAAGCTCCTTTTGTAATGGGAGTCCGAGTGCAGTAAGTCCTCCTCCAAGATGAGGTACCTCTCTTAAGGAAAAGGAAAGAGCAAATAACTGCTCAGCAGAGAGTAATGCCTTTGCAGTGGCTTTGTTTTCCCCCCATTTAAATGCACATCTTGCCCAGGTAGAGAAGAGTGGTGAGGAGAAGAGTGCTACACAACTGGAAAGCAGTGCACTTTTTCTAGCAAAGTAGGAAAGATCAACATTGGGTTTTGTAGATGTCTGCAGTGAACGGAAAGCAAAGCCTTTTCTGCTGGGCTGTACATTAATAAATGGTACCAAAATGCACCTGAAGTACAGGAGCGGTAGCAGCTGTAGGCACTGAGGAGACTTAATAAACACACTTAGTCCTGGCCTTACACATTTCACACCGCCCCTTGCTCACCACCAGCATGCACACCTCTGATTTGGCACTGGAAGTGTTCGGCAGTCTTGTGAGAGAGCTCTGTGACCTTTCACATGTTAAAGCATAGTTGTGCGGTTTTTTTTTGTTAGCTTGCTGTTTTGGAAAGAAAACAGCAAAGATTTAGCAAAGTTCTATCAATACATGAAGTTTCCAAGGAGCAACATTTGCCCCCTCAGTGAAGAAGTGATCAGTGCTGGTAACAGCAGCTCTATACAGCTGTAACAATTTAGGAGCCTGAGGGATCCAAAGTAAGACCAAGACTCTGAAGAATTTAATTCCAAGATGATTGTTTTGCATAAAAATAGCTCCGCTCCCCCCCCCCCCCCCCCCAGTGTTTTAAACCTTGAGTTTTAAAAACCTGTTTTAAATAAGTATGTCCAAGGAGTAGTTTTACTTACAGAGATTATGCAGCACACTCCTGCAATGATTACAGAATACTATTTTCTGGTTCTACTTCTATCAACACTCAGCTTTAAAAATAAGGAAATATCTAATAATGTTATGAGTTATAATTAAGGCAACTCTAATGGGATTTTGTGGACTGTGACTGGCATCCCAAGTACAGCATCAGACAGAAAAGGGAACGACAACAGATGATTTCCAGGACACTATAAGAATTAGCAACCATTTGGGTAATTATAAAGCTCCATTTTATAAAGAATCAGGAAACAAGATTAATTTATAAATCAGTTTATTTACAGATTTTGTTCTCTTAAAGTACATTTCAGTTATCAAAGATATTTACACTGGTGTACACAGGGAGTACCCTGGTTATCTTACAGTTCTTAATTACAAAAAAACCCCAACAAACAAAACCCCTCCACATCCTTGGGTCTGTCTACTGTGCAAAGCTGCTCTGGATGTGAACATCAGCTGAAACTGGCCCAAAACCCAAGTTACCAGGTTATTTACACATACACAGTAAACGGGCTTCTTTTCAGCATCTCCACAACACAGTACACTGGGAGATGGAGCCTCCCAAAAGGCAGCTTTGCAAATGTGTATCAAAAGGCTCTGCAAAGTCAGGGGAAAAAAATAGTAAATGCAGGTTAATTACAGTATTCTTCTTTCATCTGTATATAATTTTGCATTTAACATTTAAATTACAAGAAAGTTCAACAGCTTGCTTTTCTCTGTTTTAGTTGATTTGTAAACACTTCAGATGCACTAAATACCTTATAAGAGTCAACTGTTTTTCAGCTGAAAAGTACTTTATTTTCCTAATATTTTTAAGGTAGCAAAGGGATATGAACGTTGGAACTGCATGCAGCTCCTTCAAGAATAGTCATTTAAAAGGTCTCTATCACTGTGCTACTGAAGATCTTCTGCAGGTACACACTTATTCAAGTATTGCAAAAAGCTAAGGCCACTTTTTCAAGAAAGGAAAGTGAACAAGATGGGATTTTTCAATCCCTCATTCCACCCTGTGAGTAACAAGTCTTTTCTGAAAGGCAGAAGTACTGATACTCCACAGCTTGGCTTAGGGAGCATCCTGCTGTGACAGAGATACTCACACTCCTTGTCCTCACAAGCCTGGGCTTTCCTACCTGGCACCAGGATCGTTCTGAAGAGGGAACTGCACCTCCCCACTGACAACAGCCACTGCCCCAGACAGCTTAAGGGTCTCAGAAAAATGTCTCAGCCTTGAATCTTCTAATGTAGTTGCACCAAGATAACCAGGACCCAGAAATATCATCTTGTTCTTTATAATGGGAAGGTTAGGTATTAGAAAGAAACAGAGAATTCAGTCTGTCTGTGAGACTCCAGGCTTCCCCATACCTCCTTGCTACCAGCTGTGACAGAGACAGACCATTTCTTCATCGCAGTAATCATCAGTCTACAGGTACTCAACACACTTGAGTCTATACTCAACTCAAAGCAACTCAACACACTTGAGGTATTGAGAAGGTAATTCATGTACGTTCAAGTCTTTTTAGGGTTGCTTCTAGCAAGGATTGCTACCAAAAATAAACAGATGTTTGCAAAGGAATAACGCCATTAATTAGATACTGCTTCCTTCTGCCCAAACAGCTGCAAAAATAGTTACTACTAATGTTGAGGGTACTAAACTAGTGCCACCCAAGCCAGCAAGACAACAGGCACATGATCTCCAATGGTCTCTGGTACCACAGACCAACTGTACAACCTTCTCCCTGCTGGTGGGCAGTCCAGAAAAGCTATGCCAGCCCTGCAGAACAGCCAAAAAATTTCAGGGGAGCAGGACAACCTTCCTGACACCTGCCATGGTATTTACAGAACAGAAACCAATTTTGTTTCTCTTATACTCCAGCTATAAATCTGTGCTGCAGGTTTCTGCCTTCTTTCTGTAACTGCTACCTATAAAAACAGCAATCCCCACTTTTGAAAGAGATACACCCAGGAAAGGGAATCTGAGGCGGTGACCCAATCAGTGACACCATGCTGGTTAAATATAGCAGCTTTAGTTTGCTTCTATCTTAAGCATTCAAGAGTTTCTTGGTCCAGCACAATGACATTTTATGTGGACAAATGAATTACTTGGGGGGGGGGGGGGAGGGGGAAGGGGGGAAACCTGAACACTGCTCCACCAAGACCACTTATTTCCAGCTAGCCAGAAGGGCCACTACAGTGGGAAGAGACACAGACACACATATGCTTGTCGGAGGTATTCCTATACACCATTACCTCCTCCTCATTGTTCTTCCACTCATTAAGCTTCCATCAATATGGCTCTCCATTAACTCTCAAGTGAGGTGCTGGCAATACTACATCTGAGAATCTGCATGGACCTCTGACAAATCCAACATTTCCCAGTACTGTCCCTGAAGAATTACCAGCTATGTGTCATTGTGCAAAATGCAAATATTCCAATGATAGCTCCCCTCCCCCCCCAAAAAAAGTGGAAAAGAAAACAAAATCAAGCACTAGCAGAGGTATGCATAGCAGGAAGCTCAAGAACCAAATGGATGAACCAAGTGGTAGAGATCCCTGCCACACCTATTGTGGGCTGCAGCATCTTTGGGGCAAATCAACCATGTAACAGCTGCCCATAGCCTAGAAGGTCTGGGATAGGAAGGAAACAGAGCTTTTTCAAGCTCAGCCCACTCAACTCTCCACTGTCTCTGAACCAGGTGTGGTGAAGCTTTATTCCTAGTGCTTGCCTTTGTACCCCACCCCTGGTTACTGGGGTTTGGTTCTTCTCACCTTACCCCCATATTTGCCTCAAGAAGCTGGAGGTTTTGTGTGAATAGTACAGGGCTCTGGAATTTTCCAGAACAGATGCTTTCTCAAGTTTGGCTGTCTCAAAACTAAGACAGTGCAGCCAACTGCACAGGGCACTCTCCTATAATCCACTTAATAAATTATCTGAAAATAAATAAAAAACCCACAAGCACAAAACATGCAGACAGTCAAAGCACCAGACACCACTTTCTTTGGTGAATACACTCTGTTCTCTAAATTGTTCAAGTAACAGCTTCTCCGAGTTATTAGGGTGACAGTAAGGGAGGAAGCTGAGGGATTGAAGGCCAAATTTTTGTGAGGAAAAGTTTCCCACTCCTGCATGTCTCGTGCCTGAAAAAATCCTGAGTATCCATTATCTGGGAGCAGCTGATGCTCTAGGAAGAGAAGTGCTACATGGTAGGAGGAAAGCTGTCCACAGGCTCATCTTTAACACATTGGGCGGCCTTTATCTTGCTCCACCTTGGGACTGAAGCCTAAGTTATGTACGAAAAGCAGCAAGAATTTTTTACTTGAATGCAGAAAGCAACATCATCACCCTGGACTGGCTGGCACCACACCTGGCACCATGTCACAGAAGAAAGGTGAAGACCAACTTCACAGAAAAGGGAATTAAACTGGCTCTGGAGCAAAAGAAACTGATGAACATTGGTAAGGTTGGCTGCAGGAGAAGAGGTGTTAGGATTAGAACACTTCAGTATGGTAAGTCTCCATTTGAGACTAAAACCTGACTAAACCATTTCTTCTCCCAATTACACTTCTAAAGACAAGGTGAATACTGATGGCTGACAGCCATTCCAGCAAAATAGCTAATATTCCAACTTACCCAAACCCTTTCAGAGAACAAGCTGAACATGTCAAAGCCCCAGGCCAGGGCTCCAGACAGCTGCTGACAGTTATGTGACGTAACTGTACTGGCACACGAACAGTCTTGACCATTCCCCAGCGCAGCCTCAAGTGAAGAATCAGCTTGTTCCAAATCCAGTGCAAGGTCTCTAATGGCAGTGGATGCAAATTCAGATTCTTTCAATCACATCTGAACTGCCTTTAAACCCCACACATGGAAGGAAGTCCAGCAGCAGCGCTTGCAGTGTGGAGAGTACGTCAGGAGTCAGAAAGGCTGGCTTCTGATTCAGTGGTTAAGCAGCTGTAAGTTTATTTTCAGCACTGTTAGACAAGCAGCAGTCTCCGCTGTTTCTCATTTATCTGGTTGAGCACATCAACAGTGTCTCTGATTAAGGCCTCAAAGATCCCGTCTGCCAACTGCATCTTTACACACAGTTCATCCTCGTCATAGTTCACCCATTGCGCTTCTTCCTCATGAAGTTCCTGTACCTTGGAGGATAGAAAGGCAATACAAATATTACAGTTCTGTTGCTTTAGGATAGTAACCCCTGCAAAGTTCCAGAAAGAGTCCAAAACAGCACACATCTGCCAACATATCTGTCTTTGTAAGAGATTACAGAAAAGGTTTGAATAGCAATATGAACACAGATCTATTTGAACCAGGCTATTTCACTGTATGAATGCTTTCCACCTTTCACTGTAGTACCCATTTTTCACAAGTTTTTCATTTGAAAGAACTCAGCTAATGAGATACTCTTGGCCAACAGCAATCCCTAATTGTTTATTTGCAAGAAGCTGATTCCATGCAGCTTAATCTGGTAAGAAATTGTGCAAGGGCCTGGAACAGGGTAAGGAGAAAAAAGAAAAGAATTTTCTGCAGTTCAGTTTATGTGAATAATAATTAGAAAAACTAAAGGAAATAATTTTTCCAGTTCTTCTGTATAGGAAGACAAAATGCTGGCATGTGTTGTATGACAGTATTACAACTCCCTTTGCACAGAATATGCCATACTTCGTTGGATTTGACAGCATTATTACAAGTGCCATTACATTTAAAACAGTAACTCAAAAAATATTTATTTCTTTCTATACCTAAACTGTTTACAAACAAAATCCTGTTTTACTGGCCACTGGCAAATAGGTGTTTTAGTAACAGACAGAAATATGCAATTTCATTCAGCAAATCAAAGTCTTAGCAAGACTCTCTCCAAACTGGACATTTCCAATTAAACTTCCTAAAAATCTGTCTTAGTGACCATTTCAGTATTACAGACATATCCTGACTAAGCTCAAACACTTGAGAAAAGAGTGGGTGCAAACATCACTCATTTAAAATGACGAAGAAAACCTGCTGAAAGCTCTTTCCCTGCTCAGCTTCAGCAGAAAGCTCCTCTGACTGTAATTCCTACACTCTGAACTGAAAATACATGTCCACATAAACAACTGAGCCAGACACTTAGACACTGACAAAACAAGGTTAAAACATACTGAAAATCCAGTATTTCAGTATCAGTATCTAATGTTATCATCTAAACAGAGTACTGGTGCTATACCACCAACACCCTTCCTTTTGCCTGAAGCTAAACCACCCACAAATTTGTCCATTTGGAAGATGACAGCTGCTGTAGCCTAATGATGATTCAATAACCCAAACGCAGTGTGAAGCCCAAGATCAGGCTGCTATGGGAACTGGCACTGCTTCAGGGTTTGCAGCCACTCATAAGGTCTTAGTTGTACATGTGGTTTCAGTCTGACAGCTTCTTTCTCCCACTCTTAAGAGAGCTTGAGGAGAGGAGCTGGGATTTCATCCTACAAAGAGCTTTGTAAGAGTCTTGCTATGTGCTCACAAATCTCTGCGCTACCACAGCGAGCACTCCTCTTTGGCACAGCCCTCATTTCCTATATAGCTGTTAAAGGTGAGGTGTTAATGGTTTCATTACACTTCTTAGTAACAAGGAAGAAGCAACAATATTGGCAATCAAATTTTGAATGACTGTTGTAGGTGAAAAATAATTTAAAGTGAATGCTAATAAGCAGCAGGTAATTGGGTCTAAGTTTGTGTAGACATGGATGTCTGAAACAGACTTCTGAACTCTCCAGCAGAACTGTGCTCCCTGCAAACACTATGTACTTGCTGTAAATGTTGACAAACACTGGGCTAAAGAATAGCAGCATGTCCCAGGTCCTTCCATCAATAAAGAGGCATGAGATAGAAGTACCGATCTGGAGACTTATCATGTGCTGTGTGTCTGCATCACAGACTATTTAGATGAGGAAAAGCAAGATACAGGGGTCACAAAAAGAAGAGGTGGTGCTAAAAAGAAAGGTTCCCAAAAAGCAGAAGTGGTCTGGGGAGGAAAACAGGGGTCCCAAAGAGTGAAGGGGAAGATCCTGGCTGTAGGTGAGATCCTGGAAATGGGGGAAGAACCTGGAGATGATGGAGGTGGGTGGAAACAAATGCTGGGTGGGGCACACCCAGGGACCTTGACCAATGACACCCAACACTGGTTACTGAGAGCACTGGCACCACACCAGTGGTGAGATTTTCTACTGGGCCCTCCCAGGCCAGCAGTGATCTCACTGCTGGGAAGCGAAGTCAAGACCTTGTGAATGTAACGCTGGGGGTGTGTGGAAATGAGTGAGTAAAATAATCAAGCAGGCTAAAAGCTTTGATCACACTGGCCCTTAAGTAAACCCCAATATCAAGATCCACACTAGGGTGCTGTTTATTCTGTCTCACCTGCAACAACATGATGGGACAATTCCTTTACTGTGCTCCAGGAGGGAAAAGAGATACATGGGATAATATAAACAGGTGAGGAGAAGGTAACATGATCCAGGCAGAAAAGGGCTGGATGTTAAATAGCAGTAGAAAGATGAAGAAAGGAAAACTGTATCAGTGACTAATTTTCTCTTGCCTCTGCCATTCCCCTCTCAGATACTCAATTTCCTTTGACATTAGGACTTCCTCGATCGTAGTTCTGGAAAACTAAAGAGAATATGCAATTTGTGTGTGTGTGTATAAATATATATGTATGTTCTGAATACAGTGTATTCAGAGCATGTAGGGAAACCGCTGTGCTGCTTTGCAGCCTTAGCTGCAGACATCTGAGCCAAGGCAGTTGCAACTCCTCAGCCACGGAAAGGTTTGACCCATTTGCTGTACTACCACAAACTTCTAAGCAATGGAGAAAGTTTGCTTGTATTTGGTGACTATTACAGCTTTGATGGAAATGGACTTCGCACTGTCTTTAGTACATGCAGAAAATGTAAGTTCCTGTACATTGTTGTGACAAAAATAAAACTTCGCATATTTGATACGGAGAAGTTCTCTATAGCAAAGAGAAACTGCACTTGGGCAAAGTCAGGAGAACAAGTTTTAATGAAACTGAATTCCATCCCACAGGAAAAGATAAATAGTGACGCAATGCAGAAGGCTGTTGTATGTTTGTTTGTTTGTTTTTTTAATGTGCACTTTTTTTTTGTACTCGCGTTCGTTTTTTTTTTAAACACAGAAGGAAAGCAAGGGGGCACGCACACAAAAGAAAAATCATGAGACAGCAAAATAGTGTGACTTTGCTGGCCATTTAATAAATGCTACAGTACCCAAAGACATCACTTAATATAATCTGGCAGAAACTTTAAAGAGTAACTTATTAAGTTTTGATTTCTGAAGGTTTCCATTCAAAACATGAGTATCTGCAAACCAAACTACATTTGATGACTAGATCATTTAGGAGAGTAAAACTGCAGATGTAAACTAGTGCCTTGGAAGAACACCAGTAGCAGGAAGGCAGGCAGATGCATTCTCACAGCTTTTTGCTCTCCGAGTGTCTGGCAATCTTAAGACCCTCCAGTGTGCATGCAAACAGGCTTTGATTCTCTTTAACTGTTAACATTCCCCTTGGGTTTAGACCTCAGGTGCCGCAGAAGTGGGCCT